GGTGATTGAGAAAATGATTGAGCTCTCTCAATGGAGAGCATGTATTGGGTTGTGGAACTGCTGCTATTCTGGAATGAAACTAAAATTATGCCAAGATGGAAAGAAAATAAAGCAATCTAGATGTACATGTATCTCAGATATATGTGTAGACAATGGATTTGAGCAATCGAAACTGACATTTTTTGTCCATTTTCTAGCTGTCATCATCAGTTCTATTTTTATTACAATAGGTAATAAGGTAGCCTACTGTATATGTGTATGTACATGTACATGTATATAGGGTATTAGGTTCTATTACATTGTATTTCTCTGAAGTACATGTACATGTTGTACTAAAACTAGTGTATTTATTGTTATGAAATGGACTTTACTCTAAATTTTTAATTTACAATGTAGAACTCAAAATATTTTTCTGTTCTCTTCTCCTTCTTTTATCTGGAGATGTGGAGCTTAATCCTGGTCCAGTAATTGATGAGCGACCTGATATTTTTGTGTTGCTTGATCTGCTGGAGCCACTTAAAAACTGGCAGTTGTTTGGTCGTCATTTGCCTGGAGTGACACAACAAATTATTGACATGATTCAACAGTCTGAAAGGAGCCTAAAGTATCAAAAGGAAGCTCTCATTAAAAAATGGTTTGAAGAAAATCCTAAGGCAACATGGAAGGATGTGCTTGCTGCTTCAAAGAGAAGAAAAGAGATTCAAGTCATTAAAAATATTGAAAAACACCTGTCAAGTACACGTATATGTAAGTTTAAAATATACAACAGAATAATCACAGTGTATCAAAATTTTTAATTCTATTGCAGGTGACTATTTGGAGCCAAAGGACTTTTGTGGTCAAATTGCTCCAAAGGAATTGTTACGTTTATATTTAGACAAACTTACTGCTGCTATTACTGATAACCTTCACACAATTAGCAGTGCACTATGTACTAATCAGCTAATTCCGTTAGAAATTATATCCCGCATAACATCAACAACTGGAAATTCTGATTATGAAAAGGCCACCAACTTAGTAATTACATTAACAAGACAAATGGACGCATCTTTAAACCCACAAAGAGATTTGATTAGTATTTGCCATATATTAATAAACCAAAAGCATCGAGCACTTAAAGATATTGCTGCATCTATTTTGGATCAATTAGGTAAGTACATGTACTGTATGTATCCCACTTAATTTCATTATACATGTACATGTACATGTAGGTCAGCCATATCATGCAGTAATTAGTTCAGATCCACCTGATGATGTGCAAGAGTACATAAAGAGTCTCAAAGATAAGTATCTAAGTCAATCTATTATTGCTAATGACTGGCCACCAAGAGTTGGAAATGACTTTTTTGGTAGATTAGCACTTGTAAGGGAAAGTAATTTTACTTCACAAGCAGAGCATGAAAAATACTCATGGTACATGCTAAGGGGTCACATTGATAAAATACCATTTATTCCTGGTTATGATGAAGTTAAAATTGAAACTGTGCTTAATCCAGATATCTTGTCTCTCAGAGTAGCTATAGATGGTCCTCCTGGTATTGGTAAAACAACACTTTGTCGTAAATTGTTAAATATGTGGTCTAAAGGATCACATGAGTTTCAACATTATGACATAGTACTTTATTGTCCATTTAGGCATAAAGCAGTAGCTGAAGCAACTGAACTAGCTGATCTATTGACATGTGCATATAAAAGTCCTAAAGTATCAGAAGTAGCAGACTGGATATTAGAAAGAGAGGGAAAAGGGCTTCTAATAATTTTTGATGGTTGGGATGAATTAAGTACACAACTGCAAGAGTCTTCCCTAGCCACAAGCATAATTTGCAGGGATCAGTTAGTTTATTCTTCTGTAATTGTTACCTCACGTACTTATGCCACTGCTTCACTACTTCAACTAGAATGTCTGAATCAAAATGTTCATGTCATTGGGTTTGTTGCAGCAGAAATAGATGAAGTGATTAAAGGAACACTTAGTAGTCCAGAACTAGCAGAAAAGCTCATTGAAGATCTTCAATTCCGAAATGATGTTCTTTCCCTGTGCTTTGTTCCTCTAGTTTGTTCTATGGTTATTTTAGTTTATCGAAAGTCAAGAGGTCATCTTCCAACAACCATATCTGAACTTTATGAAAACTTCATTTTACAAACCATAAGAAGACACATTAAAAAAACAAGCAACAACCTGAAACCACAATCAATTGACAGTCTCAGTAATTTACCATCAAACTTAAATGCATCACTACAACAAATGTGTGAATTTGCTTACTGCAGTTTAAATAAAGAAACTAATAAAA